TTTGACGTCTTCTTCTCGAAAGCGTCGCACTATGCGATCTTGATGGCGCTGCTGGCCATGTTCCAGATCTACCTCCTGCTTCGGCAGCTGCAGCTCTCGTCGACGCAGGCCATGGCGGCCAAAGTGAGTCTCCTCACGGTCGGCGCCCAGGCCATTGTCGACTCGTACTTGTGCCTCGCGCACTTGACGGTCGGCATTGTCGCGCAGCAGATCTTTACGTTGTTTGCGACCGTGTCGTTCTTCGAGCTCATTATTTTCTCGATTTTCGAGATGCGGTATCTCTTGGTCATCTGGAAGGCCCGCCGGCCGCAGAATTTCACCCAAGGCTGGCTGCTCATGCGGCGCGAGCTCACGACCTTGTACTCGCGTTTTTACATTTCGCTGCTCACGGGTCTCTGCCTCATCTACTATGCATGGGTACGCGCTTCTCGTATGGAAAGGGATGCTACTCCGTCGTCGTCTGTATTAGCACTATCTCAACGTGCTGGTGTTGCTCGCCTTTTCGTTCTGGGTGCCGCAGATCGTCCACAACGCCCACCGAGAAGTGCGCAACCCGTTCGACTGGGTGTACATGCTCGGCATGTCGGTCTCGCGCCTCTTTCTGCCGCTCTACTTTTACGGCTGCCCGAGCAACTTTTTATCCGCCTTGCCCGTGGTACGTAGTTCGATCCCCTCGTTTCCATGTGATGATGTTGTAAACGGAACATTCATCTCGGCATGCTGCGTAGTACCAAATGCAAGTGCAGCCAGGAATGTGCTATCTCCTCGTGGGCTGGGTCGCGTTGCAAGTACGTCCTCTGCAATGTGTCGAAGCGTCTTTTATGACGTGACTAGATTGCGGTGCTGCTGTTGCAGCAACGCTGCGGCCCGCGCTTTTTTGTACCCGCACGGTTCCTCCCCGTCAAGTACAACTACGAGCGCCGCATCAACGCCGACCAAATGTCGCTCCTGCGGGCCAACCATGGCGACGAGATTGATTGCGTCATCTGCATGGTCGGCTTTCGTCGCTTCTCAACGCGTGTCATGAACGTCAATTACTTAGGTCGAGCTGGACATGGACGCCCGGGACTACATGATCGCGCCGTGCGACCACATCTTTCACCGTCCGTGCTTGCAAGAGTGGATGCACGTCAAGATGGAGTGCCCCACGTGTCGCTGCGCGCTCCCCGAGCCCTAAGTGGCCGCGTCTAAACGTTGTATATTTATACAAGACACATGTGCTCTTGTGTAACCCCATGCGACTCGATTCTCTCGTTGGAGGTCTGGAAAGCACTGGACACATTGAAACATTGAAAATAGGTGAGATATTAGAGTAGACCATACGGCTCCACATGGCCTTGGAAGATCGATACGCACGATCGTGCGTCGCGTCAACGTGCAAGGTCCTTGTTCCACGCCTTGCAAGAGCAACAGAGAGGAGGCTAGCCATTGACGGCTGCACCAGGCTCTCTTTGAGTTTGCCACGGTCCATCAACTCAAAGATCAACTGTGGCCGGGACGTCTTGAAGTACCAATGAGGCACAACGAGTTTGCCCGACGATTCCATCGACTACAACGAAAGCTGTCCCTTCGTTATGCGCCAGAGCCGTCTACGAGTACTCGTGTGATTTAGCCAGGAGAGAGTCATGCGACGGGTATCGCAAGATTAGGGTTCAAAACGACTCGCATAATGACACATTCGAAATGACGGTTGTGTTAGACGATAGTATCGTCGTCTTCTGTCGTACTATGCTGTTCGAGATGCTGTACAATCTCCGCGGCAGTTGGTCGCGTCGAGGGGTCGCGTGCGACGCAGCGAAGCGCGAGGGCATGGTACCAGTCGTCGGGTACATTGAGAAGGTCGGTTGTCGCCGTACCAGCTTGGATGTAGAGCATGGCTTTGCCAAAGTAATCCAAGTTGTCATGCGTTCTCAGCCACAGGAGCTCGATCATCATGACGCCAAACGAAAAATATCGGCGGCGGCGGTGGCTGCACCCTTGGAATGGAGAGCCTCGGGGGCCTGCGGGGGATCACACATCATTTCCGGCATCTCGTAAACCGGTGGTAACGTCGCGAGGTATGCGTCATCATAGGAAAAGCCACAATCGGCGAGCTTGATCCGGCCGTCGGTCGCAAGGAGGATGTTGTGCAGGAGCAAGCGACCATGCGCGACGCGGTGGCGGTGCAGATGCTCGAGGCCCTTGGCGACGGCGAGTGTGATCGTCACGGGTGGCATGCTGTTCTTGCGTGACGAGACGTAGCCACGGAGACTGCCACCGTCCATGTACTCAAAAATGAGCTTGGGGCAGGCCGATGCAACGTCTGCCACCGCGAGCAGTGAGACCAGATACGGCGAACGCAGCCTAGTTGGGCAATGAGGGTCTCGACTGCGTACATCTGATTCACGCACTGGTAATACGTCTGCACACGACGACCAAAGTCATCGATGTGGCCAAAGTAGCTAAACGTCTTGACGATTACGTCGCGGCCGCGGTAAACGCCTTCGGCGGTGACGCAGCTCAAGCTGGCCCCAAGCGACTCGAGCACGTCGAGGTCGTTGGACGAGATCATGGGCACTATCCAATGAATATATACATAAGTCCGTTGTTGGTTGTCTGCACATCGTTCAGTACACCTTGCGTCGACTGCTTTGGCGAAGCCATGGATGCGTAGTATGGTGCTGTCGCAATGGCGTCATTCACGCCAGCGCGGAACCGCCGGGTGCGACAGCTTGTTTGAACTGCGGCGGGACACGTGCGGCAGAAGAAGCAGATGAGCAGCAGCAGAAAGCTAGCTACGACCGCTACGAGCACCCACGCATACGCGGCAAGGGCCATATCGAATTGTGACAATCGTGCCCACTTTGCCGCTCTTACAACCCGCCAAAGCCCATCACTCTCTTCCGGATACTGGATGTGACGGTGGACTTGTGCACGATTGAAATACTACCGTACTTTCTGTACTTCCTTGTGCAGCCTTCGCCGAGGCGCCTTTTCTTCTTCGGGCAGCCCTCTCCCTGCGGCGGCTGCGCACTGCTTGACCGTTCGCTCGCTGCTCCAACGACGCGTTTCAAATTTCCATACACGTCCACCGTCAATCCGGAAGAAAGTGATGGGCTTTGGCGGGTTGTAAGAGCGGCAAAGTGGGCACGATTGTCACAATTCGATATGGCCCTTGCCGCGTATGCGTGGGTGCTCGTAGCGGTCGTAGCTAGCTTTCTGCTGCTGCTCATCTGCTTCTTCTGCCGCACGTGTCCCGCCGCAGTTCAAACAAGCTGTCGCACCCGGCGGTTCCGCGCCGGCGTGAATGACGCCATTGCGACTACACCGCACTACGCACCCATGGCTTCGCCAAAGCAGTCGACGCAAGGTGTACTGAACGATGTGCAGACAACCAACAACGGACTTATGTATATATATTCATTGGATAGTGCCAATGATCTCGTCCAACGACCTCGACGTGCTCCAGTCGCTTTGGTATAGCACGGCCTGTGCCACTGCCAAAAGCGTTTACCGCGGCCGCGACGTAATCGTCAAGACGTTTAGCTACTTTGGCCACATCGATGACTTTGGTCGTCGTGTGCAGACGTATTACCAGTGCGTGAATCAGATGTACGCAGTCGAGACCCTCATTGTCCAAGTAGGCTGCGTTCGCCGTATCTGGTCTCGCTGCTCGCGGTGGCAGACGTTGCATCGGCCTGCCCCAAGCTCATTTTTGAGTACATGGACGGTGGCGGACTCCGTGACTACGTCTCGTCACGCAAGAACAGCATGCCACCCGTGACGATCGCACTCGCCGTCGCCAAGGGCCTCGAGCATCTGCACCGCCACCGCGTCGCGCATGGTCGCTTGACCCTGAACAGCATCAGCATCGCCACCGACGGCCGAATCAAGCTCCCCGATTTTGGCTTTAGCTATGATGACGCATACCTCGCGACATTACCACCGGTATACGAGATGCCGGAAAGGACATGTGATCCCCCACGGACCCCGCGCAATTACCGGTACTGGATGGCCCCCGAGGCTCGCTGTCTCAAGGATACAGAGACCACTGCTGCCGATATTTTTTCGTTTGGCGTCATCATGATCGAGCTCCTGTGGCTGAGAACGCATGACAACTTGGATCACTTTGGCAAAGCCATGCTCTACATCCAAGCTGGTACGGCGACAACCGACCTTCTCAATGTACCCGACGACTGGTACCATGCCCTCGCGCTTCGCTGCGTCGCACGCGACCCCTCGACGCGACCAACTGCCGCGGAGATTGTACAGCATCTCGAACAGCACAGTGCGACAGAAGACGACGATACTATCGTCTAACACAACCGTCATTTTGAATGTGTCATTATGCGAGTCGTTATGAACACGCGACATACTCGTTCGCGACCCGACTTGCCACCTCTCTTGAATTTGTATCAGCTATTAGGTCGACGGCTCGAACACACACTGGACCCCACCCTGGGACATCTTTTCCCCTGGGCTTCAAGCGAATTGAGATCATGCGGCACCAGAAGCATGGGGCTATGTCATGGAGCGTGTTCAAGCTGGTGCCTTTCTGGCGAGGCTGACGAGGACGCACGGTTTGCGAGGAATCGGTATTGGCATGTAACCCGCTAGACGATTCATTGAAAGCTAGAGTTGACCAGACAGGTTCCTGCGTATTTTTGGTCACGCCCAAGGGACTACAGTGTCTCTTAAAAATTGGGAGGTCGAGTCGATTGTCTGTCATGCCCTTGGCCACGACTTGGAGAGGTCCGATTTTCATGCGGCAATATGTACATCAACAGTGTGTTGTTCGAAGATGCCTACGATCTCGGCGGCGGTTGGTCGCATCGACGGCGTGTGGGCCACGCAGCGAAGCGCGAGGTCTTGGTACCAATCCGGTTCGCCGAGGAGGCCGTTCGTCGCCGTGCCTGCTTGAACGTCCATGATGGATACGGCAAACTGGTCCATGCAGCCGTGCTTTTTGCGCCACATGAGCTCGATGAGGACGACGCCCAGTTGGTAAATGTCGGTGGCCGCGCCCGCATCGTTGGCTTTGAGCGCCTCGGGGGCGACCCAGTAGTTGCGTGGCGGTCTTGCAGACGCGCTGGGTCCGTAGCTGTACGCCAATGGCATCGACGCCATCTGCATACGC